CTCTCCCATATCAAAGTGATTTTTTAAAGTAAAAATTTCTTATCTTCATGGACTTGCTGATAAAAATTCTTCAACAGCACTCCCAAATCAATAAGGCTTATAAGATGTTTGCAACCTCTGACTTCTCTCCTAAGTCCCCTGACACCACAAACCCTTGTCATACCTTCAGTTACTCAGAGCACAAGGTAGTTTCCATGTCATGGTCTTTGCATATGCTGGTACGGCTACTTAAAATGCCCTTTCTCCCATTCTTTGAAACTTTCACACTAAGTTAGGACTCTTGTTTTATACAGTCACTGAAAACACTTTATCATAACTGTAACTATAAAATAATAAATTATTGCACCAGGCAATATTTTAAGTGCTTTAAATTTTATTTTTTTATGTAATTATCAAGATAATGCTATAAAGTAAGAAAAATTAACTATCCCTATTTTGTAGCTAAGGACCAGAGAAGTTAGGTTAACTTTCTATGGTTATATATCTGATAAACGCGGAGATGGGTTTTGAACCCAGATCAATTTGCTAGAGTCCCCCTTTTTAACCATGATAGTACACTGACTCTCAAATATACAATTAATAGTTTAATGCGTGTTTTGTTCTTGAATTTGTAAAGGGAAAAAAGGTAAGGAACAAATAAAAAGTTGGTTGGAGGAGGGAGGTCCTTATGCTGTGAACAATGGTAAGTAGGGTATACCGCAATTCGAATATTTATGTGTGTCAAAAAGATCACTTTAGCATGAGAACAAGAATGGACTGATTATGACTGACTATAGACATGTGAGACAAAAGCCAGTCTCTACAAGACTAATCACATGTATTTTACAGAAAGTTGCATTAATTTGAGAATGAAGTTACACTTAAAAGAAATTATACCAATTACAAATTATTATCCGCCAGGCGCAGTGGCTCATGCCTGTAATCCCGACACTTTGGGAGGTTGAGGTGGGTGGATCACCTGAGGTCAGGAATTCAAGACCAGCCTGGCCAACATGGCAAAACCCCATCTCTACTAAAAATATAAAAATTAGCTGGGAGTGGTGGTGCACACCTGTAGTCCCAGCTACTTGGAGGCCGAGGCAGGAGAATCACTTGAACCTGGGAGGTGGAGGTTGCAGTGAGCCAAGATGATGCCACTGCACTCCAGCCTGGGTGACAGAGTGAGACCACATCTCAAATAAAAATCCAAGGAGGGCTTCACATAAGTAGAAATAACTATTAAAAGTTATATATACCCGGTTTCTATGTTCCCAAAGAACTAACATTTTTAGGTACTTAAGTATAGTGAACACAATTTAACCCTTCAAGGAATTAGGATAATTATAACCAAACTCTTAATTTCATTATAAAAGGTCTAATGTAGACATTATAGCATTACATATAGAGGACACATTTAGAACTTGTGTTAAAACAAAAACAATTCCCTAGTAGCAACTTTTTATTGTAGATTCTCTAATGTAGGGAGGAGTTTTACTGCTAACATTTGATACAGGTGTCACATGGTAAAATCAATTGTCTCCTTCACCGCTTCATACTGAGTACCACATTTTCACTCCCAGCTGCAGAGTTTGTACTCGTTTTGTATTATACAAGATGAAGAGTGCGAACTGCAAGATATACAGTACTTGAGAACAGGGAAAGAGTGTTCCTTTCTCAGGCACTGTTTTCCTAATGGAGATCTGAGTAATTTAGAATTTGCCTTCTTTCTTTCTCTCTGAATTCCATATTCAGTATCAACAAACACTTAATATACAAATATGCACAAGTTCTTGTCTATAAAATAGGCAGAAACTTAATAGAAAATCACAGCCAACTGCCATTAACACTCAGCTGCCTTTTATCAAGGTGTAGCCAATCAACATCTGAAACCAATCATGAGGAATCCTAATACCTGAAGACAATCTGGTGTTTTTATAATTGCCCTTTAGAGGGAAAATATGATAGGTAAAAATCTCACAGACTGCCCAAATTCTATGGAAGTAGAATATTCCTATATCAAATATTATATTGTTACAACCTGGAAATATTTGTTAAGAAAGATATTTTTGTTTTAGTAGTATTTTTCGCGATAGGATTTTAAACTGCTTATCCTGCTTCACAACTACTATAAATAATTCTAATTATATTTTAATTCTCGAAAAAGAATTTTAAAAAGGGGAGTGCTTAAGTAAAGGACAGAAAGGCACCTACACTGCACAAAATGAATTCTAGCTTCTTAAAGAACAAAGACATTAATACCTGGAAATCTTTACCAAAACAAAACAAAACTCTCTCTTCACGTGAGAAACAAATTCAAGTCCTCCTAGTTCTAGAATACTGTGGTTTCATATTTTTAATATGATATATGCATAATGAAAAGTTCATGAATTTGCTTAGGATGGATCTAAGAAAAGCGAAGATTCAGATAAATTTTAAAGTCTAGAATTACAAATCATCAAATCAATAGCATGGAAACAAATAAGAGCAACTCATTTCATATTTTTAGCCAATGCAGAATGACCATAAAGAAGCAATAAAGGCCTTAATGAATACCAAAGATAGTTAACATGTAGAAACACACACAAAAATCTATGACTGGTTGGAAACAGGCTTTAGTAGAAAAGTATGGACCTATACAAACATTTCCACAATCATTATTTTGGAGAGTAGATAAATATCCTGGCAGAGTCCTTTCCAAGGTTTACAGAAATATTTAGCATTATTTCTGTGTATTTTTGGGGGGCTCATCCAATAAAACAAGATGGCCTATATCTGAAAGATGGGGAGGGTGTGTGTGTGTGTTGGTGGGGAGAGGGGAGGGTGGAAAAAACACATCGCTCTTTCCCAACCCGAAAACTAGAATCTGGTGTCTGAAGCTGATTATTCAGAAAATAATCCGAAAAGCCATGTACATAATATCCCTTAATATGCACTCCCAAAGTCTGCAAATTCTCTAGGGAGTGTTACCAAAATGCTACAAATGCCTCCACAAGTTTGACTCTGATCTAGAGAGAATAAGTTCTGTACGTTTCAACATGAATAAACTACTTTGTGGTTTTCTAGAATCTTAAAATGTGCTGCACCAATATGCTTTATATAGATTCACACTTCAACAATCAATACATAAGCTTTAAAAGCTAAGTGCATCATCCTAAAACCAAAATTCTAATTATTCAAAAAGTGCTAATCCACAGGAAAAAAGTACACATATTCCAAACTAAAAAACTAAATATAATTGGTACCTCTTATGAGCAATAAGAAATTAAAAGTTGAGAACTCAGCCGACACGGTGGCTCACGCCTGTAATCCCAGCACTTTGGGAGGCCAAGGCGGGTGGATCACGAGGTCAGGAGATCGAGACCATCCTGGCGAACACAGGGAAACCCCGTCTCTACTGAAAATACAAAAAAATTAGCCAGGCGTGGTGGCAGGCACCTGTAGTCCCAGCTTCTAGGGAGGCTGAGGCAGGAGAATGGCGTTAATCCAGGAGGCAGTGGAGCTTGCAGTGAGCGGAGATCGCGCCACTGCACTCCAGCCTGGGTGACAAAGCAAGACTCCATCTCAAAAAAAAAAAAAAAAAAAGAGTTGAGAACTCACACAATAGAGCCTGAAATTAAAGTAGTACTCTATCTTTAAATATTAGGATGTAAAACTATAAAATACAAATGGAATGACATATAGCAGTAGAAAATTTCTACATTTAGAATACAAAACAAATCCTCTATGTATAAAGAAGGAAAATATTCTAATGAGAATATTTTAAATCCTTAAAAGAGGGTAGGCAAAGATGGGTCTGATAAAGAGGGAGGAAGGAAGGGAATATGACTATATATTGAGAAAAAAACGGGATGTACTTTGCTGAGGGAGATGTGTTTGTATAGAGCTCCCAGTTATCTAAAAAAACTCAAGAAAAAAAGGGAGATAAATTGCTGAGAAGTATTTTGAAGACTTGTTTTGAGATCTGAAATACCAAATACACTAGTACCCCAATCTCTTTTAACCCTCACATACTTTCTCTCAAGAAATTTAGCAACCATAGGCCATCTTAAGAGTCCGTTTTTCTTGGGTTTAATGTGAATGTCTTGTATGTGCAAAAATCTATAAATCACACGAACATGAATTATATGGAATAGATGTAGGAGAACAAAAGAAACAAGTTTTGAAAGCTTTCTGAGAAGAAGCTCAAAAGTACGGTAGTGAAGACCCAGAGCTACATCCCTACAAAATTAAATCTGTAATGTTTAGATCATGATTTCCAGTGCAAGGCAGAGAAGGAGAAAATGCCAGGAGTGTTGACCTCTCCCTCTCTCTCTCTCTCTCTCACACACACAGACACACACACACACACACACACACGCATGCACGCAGAGGACACAGGATGTGATGAGTTTATTCATTCGTTCAACAAATATTTGCTGAATTATGTACCAGGTATCTATACTTATTTTTGTTAACTTCAAACCTAGAGATTGGTAGAAATGTTCCAGTCCTCCTGTCAAGACTTCAAGGAAGAAGATGTTTGAAGTTTGTAATTTTGTAAAGATTAAAAACATAGCTACCTGCCTAATACCTCGGGAAAAAATAGCACATCTAAAGCTAGTGGAAGAAAACCAAAACTTGCCTCCTTCTGAGACCAAGTTACATATGGCAAAATTATAGCCTATGGACTTACGCCTTGCCCAACATTTTTTTTAGCTTCTTTTTTGAACATGGGTTTTCTGGACCTGTTATATAAACTGTGGAGAATATAAAGTTTAAAAAAATTTAAGAACCTTCCTTTGCATTATAATATTAATAGTTTATTAAGTTCTTTTCCTATTTCACATCTAACAAGAATTAAAATTATTTTTTCTACACTATTTTTTTAAACAATTTATGAGTTTTATGAGAAAAATAATTTATAACAAACTTTGTATTTCTAAACTAACAAAATGACTCATTGATAAAATGGCCCAACATCCACCCTCAAAATACTGATGACAGTACCATTTTTCCCCCGGCTTTCCCCATCACATACTTACCTGTGCAACTTCTTTCAACATTTGCTACTCTGGGGATTGGAAAGCTCAGAGCTGGAGGCTGAAGTGAAGAAGGAAAGGTTGGAGGGTGAGCCATGGTACCAGCCCCACACTAGGAGCTCCCCTGAGATATTACAGGAGGGTTGACACCATAGCTCTTAAGTTCAACTCCAGCAAACAGTAAGAAAGGAGTCCAACCAGAACATGATAAACGACGGGATTCTTCCGCTCTTTGAAAAATAAGGAAATCATGCTAGAAAGTTCTGAATGTCCAGTTTCAACATTATGACTCCCTGTTCACCTCTTCATTATTCCTGAAACCCACGTTCATCTTTTAGACTAATTCAAAGTACTAAGTTTACAAAAAAAAATAAAAAATAAAATAAAATAAAAAACCAGTGCTCATTATAACCTTACACACTTTTCCAGAAAATGCAAAGACAGAGCTTACCTGGCCATCATGAAAACATGTAAGACAATGTGTTCAAATACTTTGTGCCTATCCACTCCTTGTACACTCTCTTGCTCTCTCGAGTACTCAACATTAAATCTAAGGCTCTCATACACATTAACACCATCAACAAGCAGAATTAAAGTTGCACTATATGGATGTACTTAAAATTCCTAAAGGTGGGCCAGTGAACTTATAAAAACTACACATAACTCTGATATAAGTACATTCCTTGGGAAAAAGTGAATTTCTTAACTGTTCCATGCTGATAAAAACAAATAAGGACCCCTCCAATTAAAAAAAAAACAAAACTTGGCACTTTAACCAAACGAGAAAACAAAGAGAAAAATTTTAAGATTTTAAAACAAAACAATCTGAATATAGGATTTAAATAAGATATGAAATCCAGGCCAGACACAGTGGCTCATGCCTATAACCCCAGCACTTTGGGAGGCTGAGGTGGGCAGATCACCTGAGGTTGGGAATTCGAGAACAGCATGACCAACAAGGAGAAACCCTGTCTCTACTAAAAATACAAAATTAGCCAGGCATGGTGGCGCATACCTGTAACCCCAACTACTCGGGAGGCTGAGGCAGGAGAATCGCTTGAACCCAGGAGGCAGAGGGTGTAGTGAGTTAAGATCGCACCATTGCACTCCAGCCTGGGCAATAAGAGCAAAACTCCATCTCGAAAAAAAAAAGGAAAAGAAAAAGATACGAAATCGATTCACTTTTACAAAAATGTTGAATCTTTGAAAATATAAAAAGTGAGTTATTAGAGAAAAATAGACTCTAAAACGAATAAAAATAGAAGCTTATTTAAGACATCTATTCAATAGCATAAATAGGTATTACTGAAGGTGACGAATTATTTTAAAACCTTTACATTTTAAAAATATAAAGAGGTATCAGAATCCTAATTTATGTTATAGGAAGTAATTAAAAATGAAAAGTATTCCTTTAGCAAGGGAAGACATGATCTTTAAAATGTTTCTAAACATCTAGCCATGTACACTAATTCAATAATCATTGAGTGAGCATCTACTACACCCAGTGCTAGATGTTAGGTATTACATTTTATACTCATATACTTTATCCCCTTCATGCTCAGAATAAAAGAACGTCAGAAATCAAAGGGAACAGAGGTGAAACACATTTACAATGGACTCCTGCACCAATACCAAGGCCTCCAAGGCCTTCACATGACCTTACTCTGTTATCTCTAGTCTCCTCTGTTAGCATTCTCCCCGTCTCTTCATGTGCTCCTGCCATACTGGCCTCCTTGCTATTCCTCAAACACATCAGACATACTCCTGTCTCTAAGCCCTTGCATTTGTTATCCTCCAGGAATGCTCCTTCTCTAGAAATCCAGATGGCTTCCTATTCACCTACTTCAGCTATGAAGTCATCTCAGTAAGGAATTCCTTGTCTATTTAAAATTACAATACTTTGTCCCCCAACTCCTTACATTTAGTTTTACATTTCCTTAGTCTTCTCCAATCCGAGACTTATTCCAGTCTTTCCTCTCATCTTTCCCAATATTGATGTTATATCACACACACTGCAGAATGTCCCACAATTTGGGTTTGTCAGATATTTTCTCATAATTAGATTGAAGCTGTGCATTCTGAAAGCCACATCACCACAGAGGTGATGTAGTCTTCTCAAGTGTATCATATGTGATGCATGTATTCCAATATATGAGTGCATATGATGTTAATATGTCTTATTACAGGTGAAGTTAACCTTGATCATGGTTAACGTGGTATATCTGGAAGTTTTCTCCACTGTAAACTACTAGTTTTCTCTTTTTAAATAAGAAATGTTTTGGAGAAGTACTGTGAGAACATGCAAATACCTGTCTGTCCTTACATTTCTGTCCACTCATTATAGCATTCATCCATGAATATTGCTTGCAGTAACTATTTCGTGGTTTGTTTGTTTGTTTGTTTGTTTGAGACGGAGTCTTGCTTGTTGCCCAGGCTGGAGTGCAGTGGCACGATCTCGGCTCACTGCAAACTCTGCCTCCCGGGTTCACACCATTCTCCTGCCTCAACCTCCTGAGTAGCTGGGACTACAGGTGCCCGCCACCACGCCCAGCTAATTTTTTGTATTTTTAGTAGAGATGGGGTTTCACCATGTTAGCCAGGCTAGTCTCAATCTCCTGACATTGTGATCTGCCCGCCTCAGCCTCCCAAAGTGCTGGAATTACAGGCATGAGCCACTGTGCCAGGCCTACCGTGGTGTTCTAATGGTAATTTTCTACTTTCCTTCTCTATTTAACAGAAATGCTTTAACAAAGCAAACCAAATCTTTTAAAGATTTCACTGTTAACTATGCCCACAGTGTCAAAGACTTTACATAAATGGACCCAAGTGATTCAAGTAGAAGGTGAAGACTAGTGGCTCAAACTAAAGGCTCTTCACTCCACCAAGCACACTTGTTTTAGCTTTATCACAGTGCCTTTAGAAAAGTGCCTTGGTAGAAAAGAATAGGTGTAAAATTTCATGTGCTCTTAGCATTTTTGGCCCTAATAAGGGTGTTTCCTTTTTCCTTGAAAACATCTTCAAAAATTGAAGATGTTTTCTTCAAATTTTCAAAAATCCTTGAAAACATCTTCAAAAATCATATAAAAATTAGCACATTTGTTATACTGTCTTTAATTTACTGATCCAGATAAAATAATACAGAGATAATATACTATTTTATGCTATACAACACAGATTTTTTAAAGAAATGCTCATTAGTAAAATTTTTACCTCACAGCTGAGAAAATGAATGACCACTGTATCTATGAGCCTCCTGGATTCTTAAGGGAATCAGGAAATTCAGGGCAAAGAGTTCAACTTTTAAGTTAAATTGACTCAGGACTGTGACAATTCTACGTAAGAACTGGAATTCATTTACTGACCTGTACTGTTTTATATTTCTTTCTAAATGACCTTAAGTGCTGAGAAATGGTCCGAAATTTGTGTATATTGCACACTATATAGTATTTTATACAACAGAAAGTTTCCAAGCCTTGTCTGAATATTGACACAAAAGCTTATTCTCTTTATCAGGAATGGTTTTCATTAATCTTCTCCACCAAAATACAGTTTTTAAAAATGAAATAGGGGTGCAGTGGCTCACACCGGTAATCCCAGCATCTTGAGAGGCTAAGGTGGGAGGATCACTTGACACCAGGAATTTAAGACAAGTCTGACATAGTGAGACCTTGTCTCTATAAAAAATTTAAGATATAGTGAGACCTTGTCTCTATAAAAAAATTTTTAATAAGAAAAAATACTTGAAAAAAATGAAACATTAAGATTTTCACTTCCAACCAAGAGAGAGTAGTGGTAGTACTAGTTGTAGCAGTAGTCCACCTAAAACAACTTGGAAATGGACAAAATATATTAAACAATGGATTTTAGACACAGGATATTAGGCCGTGCAGGACAACAATCCCTGAGACAAGAGAAAGAATCAATGAAGGCTCAACAACTACCCTTGCTTATAAGACCGGAAGAGTTTTCAGTCTGCAGTAAGGGAGAAGGATTCCAGATTGGTGGAGCCCAGCAATCTTTGTGAACCGAGGAAGTGGAGAAGAGAGTCTGGGTAATTAAAGGCAGCCAGAATGAACAGGCTGGGACACTAGACGAGAGAGAGTAGCACAGAGAAACAGTTCTGAAAATATGCAGAGAGTCCCTCTGAGTCTTCAGCTAAGTACTGATTAGCACATGCATGTAAGGAAACTACCAGAAACTAACAAAAAAAAAAAAAAGCCACCTGAAAGAAACAGAAAACAATCCCTACGGCCCAGACAGGGCTGGAAATCATTTATTTTCCTACCAGCCAGAGTAGAAAAACATAATTTACATAATTCAGAAAAGAATTGTTTAAGTAGTTGAAAGAAAATTAACCCTAAAGACTACTCTGGTTCTGTTAAACAAGACCTAAAAAAAAAAAAAAAAAAAAGAGTTGAGAACTCAC